CGGCGCTGCTTGCGCTTCAGCGGGAGGTCAGGTTCCGACTCCACGTCTGAGCCCTCGTCCAAACGGTTCCCTACAGCCGGGTGACACAGTGGGCACCGGTCATGCCTATGCTTTCTCTGAACACTGTGTTCTTTTCTCCCAAAGGAAAAAGGCTGCTTATCACACCATGGCTTAGCAATGAAGGATGGGAGAGAACCCTCCATGAAGAGCCCAGGAGACTGGGCAAACACTTCCTGCATAAGTAGTCCATTGCTTTTAAAGCCAGTCCCCTCCAGCTAGGCGTTTAGAGTATCTACATTGACACGGATGCCCCTGACTTAAGTCCTGATGGAATACATCTCTCAAAACTCAAAGGATAGGTGCCGTGGAGGTGGCTCTGGGGGTAAAGGCTGCACAAACCTGCCCACCCGAGTTCAATTCCCTGGAAACCACAGGGTGGAGGGAGAGAACCCCCTCCCACAAGTATGTGCACTGTGATCTGTACCCCTCCTCCAAAATAAATAAATGTAAAATAAATTTTGAAAAATCCTCAAAGGATGATAAGCTCCGAGGCAGGAGTGTGGTTGCATTTTTACCGCACACACGCACGTCAATAAAGCCTGTCTTTAAGAAAAGCAGGAAAGCATAAACCAGTAAGCAAGGAGCAACTCCACCCTAGGGAAAAACCTGCAAGGTAGAGGCTTTGGTCTCCCATGCAGAGGCTGGGGCCAGGCTTGTTAAGGAAAAGGGTGACAGGCAAGCTGAGCTCTGAGTCCAGCTGGGGAGGAGGTGCCAGAAATGGTTTGATCAGCTGGGCAGTGGTGCTGCACACCGTTAAACCCAACACTTGGCAGTGGAGGGAGGCGGATCTCTGTGAGTTCGAGGCCAGCCTGGTCTCCAGAGTGAGTTCCAGGACAGTCAGGGCTACACAGAGAAACGCTGTCTCGAAAAAAGAAAAAGAAAAAGAACTGGCTTGATCAGTTGTCCCAGCTGTTGGGGCTAAGACCTAAGAACAGAGCTGGTTTTGCACCCCCACCAGCCATGCTGAGCCTCTTGCCCTTCTCTGGCCTGGTGGGACAGAAGTGAGACAATTGAACCAGTCCTGCTCCTTCCTCTGTCTCTCCCGCTTCTAACCTTCCTTTATCTTTCCTTCCCCTTTGCTTTTTCTTGTTCATTCCTGCATGCATTCACTCACCCATTCATTTACAAATCATTTACTGAGCAACTACCGTGCTCCTGCATAGGCCCAGCACACAGAGGACAAGGAGGGACCTAGGCTCCATGCCCAGAGCGCTCAGTCCAGTGCAAGCTGGAGAGACTCAGAAGCTGCCTACACACACTACCTATAGATAACCAGTCACGGAAAGGCAGGCTGAAGTGTCTCTGGGCAAGAATCTACACTACAGTCAGTCTACACTCTCCTCTCTGAACTACCCACCAGTGCATACTCAAGGATGTAGTTGGGAGATAGTCTGGGTGTTTGAGGACTCCAGGGACAACTCTGGTCCAGCTGGGAACTGCGCCCAGGGCTCTGTCATTGGCTTTCGTGTGTCTTTGGACAGAAAGTGTATAGGTAGGATTGTTATTACTAACGATGACAGCAAAGATGATAGAAAAATGGGGGAGGGGGAGGAACAGAGAAGCCTGAGAAGCGACAGGAAGCCTCTAGGCCACCCCTCAGTACCCTTGATTCAGTTCCTTGTACCCCACCTTCTCAGCACCCCCTTCTCTACCCCTAGCTAGTAACCCTTTACCTTCTGAGTTAAACTAATCAAGACTAAGTGTGTTGGTGGCCCTGCAGGCTGTGGCTGAGTCCTCTGCGCGGGGGAAGCTGGTGGCTCATGGGGCCTGGGCATCGGGCCTGGGGAGAGGGATTGTGGGAAAAGCTGACATGGAAAAGTATTCATTAAATAACTGGCAGATTTGAGGTGGGCAGGAGGGAGCAGCTCCTGGCCAGCTGTGACCCATGCCTTCCTCCTTCTCTGCAGCTGGGGAATGCAACGGTCCCAAGCACCAACGCAAAAGAGAAGGGACAATAAGGAGCCTGCCCTCTCTGGGTTCCTCAATCCTGTCTCTGCTTAGAGGAAGGGGAGGCCCATGCCAAGCAAGGAAGAACGGTCTCTAAGCTGGGGCCTCCAATCTGATGGGGAGGAACAGTTTGTCTTAGGAAGCTTCCAGTCTGATGGAGGAGGTGTCATTCCTGTGCTGGGACATCCGAGTCCAAGGGAGGAAGCACTGTATCCAGCAAATGGGTGCATGGACAAACAGACAGACATCAAGACTGCCACATGACTGGCCAAAGCCAGGGAAATCTGAAGACAGTTTAGGGACCAGAGATGCCAAGTTTGTCAAAGCTTGGGATAGCCTAGCCCAGGATAGCCCAGCCCATGATAGCACAGCCCAGGATAGCACAGACCATGCTGACAGTGGGGGACAAACAGAGAATGAGAAGTTGCTGGGGGTGGCTACCATAACCTCTCCCAGCCACACTGCTTCTGCCTTCTTTGGGGTCTTTTTCTAGACCACATTCCATCCCAGGAAGCGATCATTGAGCTCTGGGCTATACCAAGAAGTCTCAGTAAACCAGTGAGGCTACTAATCTGCCATTTGTGTATCCAGACTCTATACTCCCACATACAAGGCTCACAATTAGGCTTATCACTTCCTATATGAAAATGTAGGGCCACCTCCTGCCTCTACCTCTAGCCATGTCTTTGCGGTGGGATGGAGCCTCCTTATCCAGTACAACCCCTCATAGTGGGTGATCTTCCAGCAAGGAGTCAGACCAGGTAGATTTCAGCAACATTTAGAGGGGCTCTTAAGTCTCGACCATCAGAAAGCAGGGATGAAGGGTTGGGAGATGGCTCCATGGCCAAGTGCTCACTGCACAAGTGTGAGGACCTGAGTTCAACCCCAGCTACCACATAAAGAGCCAGCAGAGAAGTGCACCTGTAACCTCAGCACAGGAGAGACAGAAGCAAATCACTGGGGATCACTGGGCCGCTATCCCAGCTCAACTGATGAGCCCTAGGTCCTAGTGAAACACCCTGTCCCAATAAGCCGCTCCTGGGGAAACAACACCCAGGATCAACCTCTGGTCCCTACACACATCCCTATCCTCCAAAAACACACATACGCAGAGTCATGTCTTAAGTCTCTGGAGACAATGGCTGTGTCTGTGGATGGGCCTACTGGTCTTGCTAAGCCAGCAGATCCTTGACTGTGATACGGATGGTGCCTGGCACACAGCAGGTACTCAGGATAGCAGCACCAGTGCTCACAGCCCAGCAGAGCAATCTCAAGTGCCTTTTGAAGTCTGGCATCCTGCAGCACCCATCTCCATGCACAGCGTTGCAGACTCTTCACACTGCTAACATGAAATCATTGTTATCAGTTGGAATGCCAGAAGATGACGTAGGCCCATTTTACAGATGCCTGTGAAGTCCTGGAACAGTGAGGCTGGAACAAAAGCTAAGGACCCTGCCTCCATGGTGGTGGAAATCTGCCACGGTGGCTTCTCTGAGAAGCCCGCTGTGATTTTGAAATCATGGTGGCTGCTCTGCCCTCCCCAACCTTTCCCTCCTCTTTCTGACTGGAGAAGTCCTGCAGATAGTGCTGGTTTCTGAAGCCACACAACTCCCAAGCCCTCCTCTCTTCCAGGCAGTGGAAGCCAACACTAGTCAAGAGGCACAAGGGTCTCCCTCTCCTCTGCACCCATCACAGAGGCCCTCCCAGCCCCTTTCCCTGCATCCCTCTCCCTCCTCCTCCCATCCCCGTTATTACAGTTTAACATAGGCCCTGGTGTGGAGCTGTGGAGGAGAAACGAATCACATAATAGTTGATATGCGTTTTAATCAAGTAATTCGGGCAGAGCCGAGAGCTGGCGAGTGTGGGCCCGGTGTCCCTGAATACCAAGCAGGCCTGGGCTCAGGCCTTGGCAAATGGAAAAGTCATTTACAGCTCAGCTGGGGGCCGCCAGCCTAGTGGTGGCCTGTCCTTTCGTCCCCTCTGTGCAAAGTGCTCAGCTGTAACTGGCTCACCGGGTGTGCACAGGCCAGGCTAGTTTGCAGGAACTGGCCTTACACGTGATTCACAGAGACATGGGGACTCCTGCCAGGAGATGAAGCACCCCACTCCTGCCCACCTCTTCTACCCATATTCCTCTTTGGCACTCAGCCCAGCACCAAGCAACTCAGCTTCAGGGCCCAGCCCTCTGTTCTGCCTGAGTCTGCCCTTTCTATTCCACCCTGGACTGTGCCCTCTGCCTCATATGCCCCCTGGCCTGGTTCACTTATGAAGCCTCTGGTTAGCTAGCCAGACCCACCCAGGAAGGTTGGGAGTGGGCAAAACAGCCAGATGCTGGCTGCTGACCCACACAGGATTCTTCAGACTCCTGTGTGAAATCATCTCATACTGGGGACCCAACCTTCCCATGACATGTCTGACCAATGGGAAGGTGAAGAACTCAGTTTATGACACCCCAAACACCCGCTACACAAGCGCACCACTGCCAGCTGTGTGAAGGTAGGTGTTCTCCCTTGTCCAGCATTTTTTTTTCGTAGCTGAACCTCTGGTGCTGGGCATTGAGAGTCATTGAGGGTGTGTGGCATAAGTCAACCAAGGATGAAATGGGTGTGTGTCTCAAGACAAAGAGATGGATGCTGGGAACATGCCACTCTTCTTAACGGTACCCTGCTCTGTTTGAGTGTGAGGGATGCTGTGCGTGCATTGCTGGTGAAGAGCAGAATGGTCCAACCTTGATTCATCATGAGCATCCCAGATACCCTCTCTATCGTCACCACCTGGGGCTCAAAAAGGAGTCCTGCCCCGGGAGAGCAAATGCTGGCCCCGAGCTCTGTTCTCTGGCCACACTTCCTTCCACATATACACATCTTCCCTGGTCTTGGTAACAAGGACCCAGCCATGCACCCTGCCCCATGCAGGCTGTGCACCCACCAGTTTGGGGAGAAGGCAGGGACCTGAAGAGTCCTCTGTGCAGAGAAGGGTCTCCATCAATCCCCAGGCCCTGCTGCCTTCTCTCCCTCACCCTATGTTGGGGGATATGGTGGAGCCCAAATGTTCTGGGGCTCC